TAGACATAGACATATACAGAGGTATACAGAGAGATACCTTAACAGAAAGCTACCTTAACACCTTACACATGCTCTTAAATCAGCCTTAATCCAAATCTGTTGATGTAGATACTTTGAGTAATATAGGTGCATGGAGCACATTTGAGGAAAACATAAATGAGAAACTGCTTTCCTTATGACACCATCTCCTTCAGGAGATATGCTGTTCATTTTATAGGCGCTATTTTCTTTATTATCTAAGAAATGGTTCTTACAGAATCAGCAACTATAAAATTATATATATCAGAAGATAATGCCAGGGTATATATGTAGGACAACATATCTGTGACAGCTGTCAACTTATTGCCTCTCAGCTCCAGATTAACCCTTCAATTAAGTGTCTGTGGTCATGGGCAGGGTCCCTTTAAGCATCTCCTCTTTACAGTCAGCATGATGTTAAGCTCTCTCCATAGGGGGCGCTGTTGGGGCCATTTGTGGCTGCTGCCTGGTGGGTCAGTGATATGGGTGTGAGGACATCTGATGGAGTTCTGCTCCAACCACTGCCTACAAGGTGGTGCCTTGGGACCCTGCAGCCTTATTCTGGCCATAACCACCTTCTGGGCCTGTGGATTACAAACTTGAGCCCTGAAAGATTCTTGCTGCATCAGTGCCCGGAAGGCCTACTGCCAACACCGGCTCCTCACTCTCTACAGATCCTGTGTGGATTATCTGCGACCTGGAGGGTTCCCACTGAGCAGCCATGCCTGCTGCAGGCCCCCACTCTCTACACAGCCAGGCCGTTGGTTGCTGGTGGACTGCCCCTGCCTGCATTCTAGAGGTTTGCTTGCTATGTGCTCAGGGACTGCAAACCAGTTCCAGCCTGGGCAAACCAGCTAAGTTCTCTGCTATGTGGGTCGAGTTCAGTTCTCCAAGGAGGTCTGAACCTCAGGCTTGGGACTCTTTCCCAGTTTGTCTTTCCTTGAGTACTCTTCCTTAGTTCTAGGGTACCACAGAGAATTTCCTCATGTCCTATAGTCATTAATTAGAATTTAATAACTTTATATATATTAAATTTCCCCTGTTCAACCCACTGTAAAGCAATAGCAATACTGATGTTTTAGCAAGAAATACAGCTGCCTTTCCACTTAGAGAAGAATATATAGAATGAAGTAGGAATAAATGAGCCAGCCTAATTTTGATTTTAGAGTTTTGAAATTGGATGACAGCTGCTTTCATTTCTCAAAGGAAATGAATACAGTCTTGTTTCATTAGCTAGACTGTCAAATCCATGCCAGGAGAGAGGTTCTAACTCACGTAGCATAACATTTGTGTTGAAGCAACAGGAATCTGATTCTCACTGAATCAGTAGAGTTCCCACTGAAAAGGCCAGTTGATTAATTTCAGTCAGGGCAGAACTTAAAATTGCTGGCAATGTGTGATGAAACTGATTCCTTTTGAGGAAAAATAATTAGTGCAATTAAATCTGAATAAGTGCATAATTTGTTTAAAACAGATCGAAGGAAGAATGAACAGGAGAAAAAAACATCTGTATCACAACCTTGGGGATTATATAAAAGTAGACAGTATAAACATAATAATATAGCTAATAGAATAAATATGACAGGACTTTCAACTTCTGAGCTTATTTTTATTTTTAAACTTAACTTCAATTTCTCTATTTTTAAAATTAATTATTAAATTCATGCTAGTCTTATTGTGATCATAACAGTAGGAACTACACAGATGATTGGCAGTGGCTCTCAAATGTTTAAATATTCAGAATAACACGGGAAACCTGCGGAAATGCAGATTCCAGCAGACTTGGTTATCTCATAGCAATTGGTTTTAACAAGCATTCCAAGGATTCTGATGCAGATTGTTATCTCGACCACACTTTGGGAAATCATGAGTTTCCGAATGAGCTCCCATTAAGAAATGTGAAATTTTATTTAGAAATAAGACAACTGTTTATATGTCCATTTCTGATATTAAAATGGTCTTTATCATTTTATCCTATGCATCCCAAAGAGTTAGGGAGCAAGAAATAGTTTGTCCCCAATAATGTATTCCTGTGTAGAAAAGCCCCTTCATGTTCACCTGACCACTTTACACTAGGTAATGAAGTTATTTTTGGCTGTAGTTCTTCCTTTTTCTAATAATAAGGTGAATAAAACTCATGTTGTTCTAAAAGGAAACTAACTCCGTCCTAACAATGAAGCCAGCACTATCATGGACAATTAAACTGAAGAGAAGTAAATTTGGAACCATATTAAGAATAAAAAGCCAACATTTCCCTAGGTATCCAGAGAGCCAGTATCTTAATAAGAGATGCCTGAGTAACATACAAGTTTAAAGGCAGAGCCTAAAGCATATATTTGCCATTTAAACTCATGATTTTAGATGAGATATGAACAACGGAGGAATTGGAAAACTGGGTTGTCCCAGGCTGTTTCTCCTTTATAGCTCCCTCAAAGGACCTCAGTTAGCCCACGCTCCTCACCTCAAAAGACAGGCACTGATTCTTAGGCGTGGACCGAAACTTGCTAATCATCTAGTCTGGAAACCAGCTGTGCAAAACAAACCTTAAAATGTTCCCCTAGAGCAAAGGAAAATATGTTTGGTTTCGACAGCTCGGGCACTTTCACTGTGGATCCTCCCTTCATTGTTTGGGGTTAAGTGGCCACCACAAGAAACAAAACATGAGCATGAGAAATGGCTGAGTCAACCAACACTTAGCGCCATGCCCAGGAACTTCTCAAATGGCCCAGGAAGCAGAGGCCTCCGGATTTTTTTGCAGGATGTTGTCCTTTCCTGGAATTTTGCAGGTGGCTGGAGTATCTGCATTTGGAGTATTGCAAGATTATCTCACCTGATTTCTGACTGGAAGTTTATCTCCAAAATGATCACATCCACAGAGACAGTTATTAAATGGGAGCAAACAGTCTCAGCAACCTCACGTGTCCCAAAATCCTGACCAGCAACATGCTCCTGACTGTATTCGTGGTCTTGACAAAAGATATCATTGGGAGAAAGGGTGGTTACTACTGCAAATGAGCTTTTTTTAAATAGAGAAGAATGCAAATTGGGAAAGGGGTAAATACATAGATTTCTAGTTAAAAGCATTTAAAAGGAAACTTTGCAAATTTGGTTAGTGATTTCTTTAAAGCACAGAGGTCAAGTCCTATTACAGTAAATATCACATCCACCTAAAAATCAGATTTCAGAGTCTCACTTGGTACCTTATTCATTTCACACAACAGAACAATGTTTCCATATAGTGAAAGGAATGGATACAATCCTAGGAGTGTCTCAAGCTTTCAGATGTTTGTGGCATGCCAAGCAGCATAGTTTGTTTCTCTGCTGTGGTAGTCACTTTTACGTCTGTTACTTAGAAAAGTGGCTGGGTGCAGTGGCTTATAACTGTAATCCCAGCACTTCTGGGGCTGAAGTGGGAGGATCTCTTGAGCCCAGGAGTTTGAAACCAGCCTGGGCAACATAGCAAGACCAATATCTCTATTAAAAAAAATCAAAAAATTGGCCAGGCATAGTGGTGCACACCTGTGGTCCCAGCTACTCAGGAGGCTGAGATGGGAGGATGGCTTGAGCCTCAGAGGTTGAGACCGCAATGAGCTGTGATCAAACCGCGATGCTCCAGCCTGGGCAACACAGTAAGACCCTTTCTTAGGAAAATAAATAAAAGTTATTAAGAAAGACTGAATATATAAAATGTTTCCCAGTCAAATCCTGAAAAATGGTCATCTTGAAGAGTGTTGGGAACTGGGAGCCCCCTGGATTCCTCTGAGGAATTTCACTAAGAAGAGCTGTAGATGTTTGCTGGCTAGCTTCCATCTAGCTTGGTTTGTGAGGGCTTATTATCAGCAAGACACACAGGTAGTTACTGACAGAGTTAATTTCGGGATCCCATGTTGCCCTAAGTCTGATGATCATGCAGTGTGGCTAATGAATGCTGTCACTGGTTCTACTGCTTCCCTGGGAGATGCGACTTCTGAATGAAAACATGGGACCCTGGACACCAAGGTCCTGTCTTATTTGTATCAATGGAGTCATGTAGCATATAAGCTCCAAAGAATAAAGCAGTAGCTTTGGTTGACTGTATACAGGAAATTTCTGGATGGCCATTTGGCTCTAAGTTAATCAAAAGACATCTCTATTGGGGACCCAAACTACAATTTTGATATTCTTACCTAGGAGATAAAACTTCATTAAGTAATTAACATGTACTAAGGGGGAGAAGGGATATTTGGTTCTCTTATCTTTTTTTTTCAACTTCAAAATTTTACTCCCCCAATATTCTATGACCAGCTGCTATGAAACTCCTCAGCCACAACAAAGGTGGCCACCAGCCACAGATCAAACATGAAATAACAAATCTACCTAAAGCCCAGCTTGGGATGTACCACTTGCTTAAATTATTAGGGTATTGCCGTCTCCAGCAGCTGTAAACATAGCCTGGCTGCCAGCCCTAACCTCCTCATCCTTCCAGTTTGTTATTATGGGATTACAAAGTAACTTCTGAGATGTTATTATTGAAACACGATAAAGCAAAATCAGTCTTCAGAGGTTAAGGAGGGAGTTTTTAATCAAGTGTGGTTGACAGGCTTGATATTGTAGGAAAACTTTTTTTTTTTTTTTAAAGCATCATTAAACAACAGCCTCAATAAACAGGCTGTATTTAGCCCAAATCTTGTTCAGGAGAACAGCATGGGTTCTGTTTTGAATTGGCTTGGATTCTGGACTTCCTCTTCCTATTACATAGGTCTGAGAGTTGTCTTTGTTAATAAAATTTAGCTTTGTTTCCCCACCAGTGATAATGACATGAAGCACCAGGAAATGATGCAATAACCACGGTACACAAGGCCTTCCTCCTGGGGAAGGTGTGACACAGGAGAAGAGCCGGGGAGGACTCCCCCATACTGTCCAGTGAAGTGCAGAATACCTGCTCATGTTTGTAAAAATAAGACAAGTCAGGAATGCAAGAAAAAAAGTCTTCACGCTCAATGTGACTATCTTTGGAATTCATTTCATTAAGGTTTTCACAAAATACAAAGCTCAAACGTAATTATCTACGTCCACCACAAAACAGAATCAAGTAAGTGGTTAGCACAACAAACAATGATCGTTTCCATTTTAAAAAATATAAATAACAATGTTCAAGGTTTTACAATTTCTTCTTAGTGTGTGTCTTTTTAAGGCTTTATGTTGCAGACCCTTCATTAATGGTACTTGTACCCTGCCATCAGGATACACTGCCCACCAGCAAGGAAGGCCACTGTGGATACATTCCTGAGGGGGACACACACGGATCCATGTTGCCTCAGCCTGTTAAAGACTAAATGATCAAACACCCTCCAATCAGTTCTGTTTCATTAACTTACTTTCTACTACAAAGTAATAATAGAAAGGGGTATGTGTCCAGCAGCATTCAAGCTCTCAGAAGATCAATCAGGAAGGGCAAGAAGGAAAAAACAGGCTTCCTCCTGGAGAGAATTTTTTTCCTTTCATCCAGAACAAACACCAATAACCCAGATAGTTCAAACAGTGGTTTGTACTGAAACATTTTTCAGATTAAATAGTGTTGATAGAAACAGTCATCTTTTGGTTGGGTATTTTAGAAGAGGTTAAAGTGGAGAGGGTAATGTTGGGAAAATACCACCGAAAGTACAGCTCCCGGTAGGAGTGGGCTCACTCGTGAGGTCTGGGGGCAGAGCCAGGGCCCCGGCCTTGGGAATGAAATCCGAGGGCAGGCTCTCCAGCAGACACTTGACCTGCTCCTGGCCCAGCTTGATCTTGTCGTCCAGTTTCCGCTGCTCGATGAGGAGTGTGGACTTCATTTTCACGAAGTGCTGGTAGTCCTGGAGCTGCTCCTCAGAAAGGTAATTGGCCAGGATGCCCAGCACCACCCGCTCCCTGCGATCCAGGTTCTCCTTCAGCTCCCGGGCATCCTCGTGCTGCCCAGCAAGGATCTTCCTTTTCTCATAGAGAGAGCTCTGCCAGGGCAAATTGGACAGATCAACAAAGGTCAGGGGAAAGGAGAAAAGAGCCAGACTCCCTGCAAGGACACCTCTGACAGGACTGGGAAATATCTATGCTCGATTCCTATTGTCACTCTAAGGAGGCTAACTGTTTGAAAATCAGCTTATTATCTTTATATTGCATATTACAGCATTCTCTAATTTGTAATGTCATAGGGTAGCTTCAATTTGAGAAGTATTACTTTAAATTGGCTGGGAATAAAATTGCTTTTGGATTCTAGACTTAAAAAACCAATCATCAGCTGGGCGTGGTGACTTTGGGAGGCCAAGAACAGGTGGATCACTTGAGGACAGGAGTTCAAAACCATCCTGACCAACATGAGGAAACCCCGTCTCTACTAAAAATACAAAAATTAGCTGAGTGTGGTCATGCATGCCTATTATACCAGCTCCTCAAGAGACTGGGGCATGAAAATCACTTGAACCCGGGAGGCAGAGGTTGCAGTTGAGTGGAGATTGTGCCACTGCACTCCAGCCTGGGTGACAGAGTGAGACTCTGTCTCAAAAATCATCATCAAGGTACCTTGAGGACTACACTAATACAGTGGTTCTCAAGGTGTGGTTGCTGGACCAGCAGTGGCATCACCCAAAATGCAACGGTTCAGGCCCTCTTCCACCTCCTGAATCAAAAACTCTGGAGATGAGGCCCAGAAACCTGTTTTAACAAGCCTTCCAGATGATTCTTTTGTGGCTAAAGTTTGAGAACCTCTCCCTAATCCATAATAACAAGGGGATCATCATATTTCCCATCTCCAGAGAAGTCAGTTTCCACTTTTTCAGTTCTCTTTTGCAGGCCTCTGAATATAAAATGAGAGAAATTCTGTTCAACAATGATGGCAATGTTATGTTCTAAGAGTTTCTAAAACTTTTCTATGATATTGTAGCATATATTATCTTTAATGTGGTTTTCTATCCAACATGGTAACACATAACATTTTTAAATTAAAAAAAAAATTATACTTAACCATTCACACATTTTAGGCAAAGTAAGGAGACAAACCCACAGACAACATTATATTGAACAGGGAAAAGATGAAAGCATTCCCCCTGAGAACTGAAACAGACAAGGATGCCCACTTCCACCACTGCTATTTAACACCGTATTAGAAGTTCTAGCCAGAGCAATCAGACAAGAGAAAGGGCATCCAAATCGGTAAAGTGGGAGTCAAACTGTTGCTGTTTGCTGATGATATGATCCTATACCTAGAAAACCCTAAAGACTCATCCAAAAAGCTCCTAGATCTGATAAATTCAGTGAAGTCTCATGATACAAAATCAATGTACAAAAATCAGTAGCACTGCTATACACCAACAACAGCGATCAAGCTGAGAATCAAATTAACTCAACCACTTTTACAATAGCTGCAGACAAAACAAAACAAAACTTAGGAATATACCTTGAGGAGGTTAAAGACCTCCACAAGGAAAACTACAAAACACTGCTGAAAGAAATCACAGATGACACACACAAAAGGAAACATACTGTGCTCACGGATGGGTAGAATCAATATTGTGAAAATGACCACAATGCCAAAAGAAATCTACAAATTTGATGCAATTCCCATCAAAATACCACCATCATTCTTCATAGAACTAGAAAAAACAATCCTAAAATTCATCTGGAACCAAAAAAGGGCCTGCATAGCCAAAGCAAGACTAAGCAAAAGGAACAAATCTGGAGGCATCACATTACCAAACTTCAAACTATACTACGAAGCCACAGTCACACCAAAACATGATACTAGTATACAAACAGGCATGTAGACCAATGGAACACAACAGAGAACCCAGAAATAAAGCCAAAGACTTACTGCCAACTGGTCTTCGACAAAGCAAACAAAAACTAAGTGGGGAAAGGGCACTCTGTTCAACAAATGGTGCTGAGATAACTGGCAAGCCACGTGTAGAAGAATGAAACTGGATCCTTGTCTCTTACCTTATACAAAAATCAACTCAAGATGGATCAAGGACTGAAATCTAAGACCTGAAACTAAAATTCTAGAAGATTAACATTAGAAAAATACTTCTAGACATTGGCTTAGGCAAAGAGTTCATAACTAAGAATCCAAAAGTGAATGTGACAAAAACCAAAGATAAATGGATGGGACTTAAACTGAAGAGCTTTTGCACAGCAAAATAAAAACAGCGGAGTAAACAGACAATCCACAGAGTGGGAGAAGATCTTTGTAAACTATGTATCCAACAAAGAACTAATATCCAGAATCTAAAAATAAATCAGCAAGAAAAAAACAATCCCATCAAAAAGTGGGCAAAGGACATGAATAGACAATTCTCAAAATAAGATGGACAAATGGCCAAGAAACATGGAAAAACTGCTTAACATCTCTATTAGGGGAATGCAAATCAAAACCACAATGCAATGCCACGTTACTCCTGCAAGAATGGTCATAATCAAAAAATAATTTGGCATGGATGTGATAGAAAGGGAACACTCTACACCACTGGTGGAAATGTAAATGACTACAACCGCTATGGAAAACAATATGGAGATTCCTTAAAGAACTAAACTATATCTACCATTTGATCCAGCAATCCCACTACTGGTTATCTCACCAGAGGAAAGAAGTCATTATACAGAAAAGACACTTGCACACCCACGTTTACAGCAGCACAATTTGCAACTGCAAAAAAGGGAACCAGCCCTAAATGCCCATCAATTAACAAGTGGATAAAGAAAATGTGGTCTTTTCCACACCATGGAATACTACTCAGTCATTAAAAGGAATGAAATAATGGCATTCACAGCAACCTGGATGGAGGTGGAGACCATTATGCTAAGTGAAGGGATTCAGAAATGGAAAACCAAACATTGTATGTTCTCACTTTTAAGTGGGTGCTAAGCTATTGAGGATGCAAAGGCATAAGAAGGACAAAGGACTTTGGGGTCTTGGGGAAGGGTGGGAGGTGCTTGAGGGACTACACATTGGGTACAGCGTGCACTGCTCAGGTGATGGGTGCACCAAAATCACAGAAATCAACACTAAAGACCTTATCCATGTAACAAAACACCACCTGTTCCCCAAAAACTTACTGAAATTTTAACAAAGTGGTTCAGGAAAATTGAAATGAAAATCAATAAATAAAATCACTTAAGTATATACCTCAAGACAAATAGCTTATGTAGGGTTATCAAAGGCTCATGTGTCTTTGCCCTAAATTCCCCTAAACTAGCCTGTCACATCTTACAGACTAATGCCTAGGGGGAAAGTGAAGAGTTACAGGCTTATTGGCATAAGTTTCTTTTCCCTATACAGAGAAACAGACCTAAAAACAAACCCGAGTGACTGAATTTGAAGATGCCTTTCAAAGTACCATAGAGATATAAATTACAAAACTGAGAATTTTTTCAGCACCTCCCTTAAAAAATACATAAAATATTTTAGACATCAGAAATGTATAGAGAATGCCCATCACTCTGTGTACCTACCATTAATGATGCCAAATCTTAATATGAACACTTTTTCATATTTGTTTCAGATTAGAAATTTTTTTTAGAGATTCAGTTGAAGCCTTACAGATACTCCTCCCCAATCCTGGTCTTCACTACTCCTCACTGGGTTAACTATTTTTCTTCTGTTTTTCATTTCTACTTTAGTTTGTTTCTTTTTTTTTTTTTTTTTGAGACGGAGTTTCGCTCGTTACCCAGACTGGAGTGCAATGGCGCGATCTCGGCTCACCGCAACCTCCGCCTCCTGGGTTCAGGCAATTCTCCTGCCTCAGCTTCCTGAGTAGCTGGGATTACAGGCACGCGCCACCATGCCGAGCTAATTTTTTTTTTTTTTTTGTATTTTTAGTAGAGACGGGGTTACCAATCAGGATAAAAACCAATACTGCGGTCATATTTTTCAGGTGAGCAAACTTACTTATATTTAAGAGTGCAGGTGTGCATTTAAGTGTGGAATTTAATTCGGTTCTAGAACAATTCATCTTGCCCTAACTAGAAATTGCTTCAGTCTTTCTTAGGTATCTAGAGCATTCATCCAGGTGGCCCAACAGGAAACCTGGAGTTATTTTCTGCTCTGCTCTTCCCCTCATCTAACGTGCTCCTTGCTAATCCAAATTCATTTTCTAATTTCTTCCCTCTTCTCTATCCCCAGGACAACTGCCTGCATCAGCAGCGTAAACCCTCCTTGTCTAGAGTATTATAATGAGCCTCCCAACTGTTATTTTAACATCAATCTTGCCCTTCCCCAGGCTAAGTCATGAAGTTAGTTCATGGCCCTTCTCTACCTACAGACTGAAGTCTGAAGTCTTGAATATGACTTTGGTAAGGTCTTTGTGATTTTCGGTGCTGAATACTGTGTCTGGCTCTCCGGATCCACTCTCTTCCGGCCCGTGCTGAGGAAAGCTGAACTCTCGGGGTTGCATCCACTGGGCTTCCTTGCCCTCTGTGTTTGACCAAGGGTAGTGACGGGAAAGAGACTGGAGAATGCGAAAAGAAATTGTGGCATGTATCCCTGGCTGCCTCTGGGCCAGGCTTTGGGTTGGTGGTGGTGGCATTCTTTTACCAGGGTCTCAGTGCTTATAGGGCAGCCACAGCTATGGTTCTGATAAGGGCTCCAGTCCCCTTGACTATTTCAGGAGGCCCATAATGGCTTCCCTGCTGATGCTAGCTCTGGGTGAGGGGTAAGGGAGAGTCCTCATTACCCCTTCCTGGTTTCCCATACCTTCCCATACCTTCTTTGAACTTTCTTCTTTATTCCTTTTGATGGGGCCATGGACTTTCTGTCCATTTCTAATATTCCTATAGCTCACTATTTTTAAAAACCAACCAAGCAATCAGTGTATGTTCTAAACATACCAAACATGCAAATCGTAAACATGGCGTCTCTTTCTTGACTTTGTCCATGGTATTTCTTCTAAATGGTGAGGCCCTTCCCCTCTCAATCCTCTTATAATTAAGAGGTCCTTCTAAACTGTCTTCATGTGCCACTGTGTGAAGTCTTTCCTGCCTCACATTCCCCGACCTGAGAAGTGTTTCAAGGCTGAGTTTCTCGCCACGCGCAGCACCAGCAAACAACTGCTCCTGCCTGCTGTTTTCCTGGAGGGCGGGGCCTGTGTTCTGGTCAGCATTTTTCCCTAGCACACAGTATTTGACAGGCTACTGTTAGTTGTTTGTCAAGTAGAAGAAAGGAGGAAAGGACACACTTCTGAGTTAGGCAGTATCAGGTGATTTCTAGATAAAGAAGCTGGTTCAGTACATTGACACAAGGTTGATGCTGAGAGTGGCGCTGCAGAGTTCCAAAATGCTGAGTGACTTTCCTAAATGCTTGGCATCCAGACTTTTTCTAATCCTTTTAATACCTACTTGAAAAAGGACATCTTTCCTTTTAATGCAATATATGTAGTAGGAGAAATTATTGGAGAGTCCATGAGAGCAATGAAAAAGAAAGATGGTAGGCCACGCGTGGTGACTCACGCTTGTAATCCCAGACACTTTGGGGGGGCCGAGGCAGGTGGATCACCTGAGTTCAGGAGTTCGAGACCAGCCTGGTTAACATGGCAAAACCCTGTCTCTACTAAAAATACAAAAATTAGCCAGGCATGGTGGCATGTGCCTGTAATCTCAGCTACTCAGGAGGCTGAGGCACAAGAATCACATGCACCTGGGAGGCAGAGGTTGCAGTGAGCTTAGATTGCACCATTGCACTCAAGCCTGGGTGACAGAGAGACTCTGTCTCCAAAGAAAAAAAAAAAAAAGGAAGAAAAAGAAGGATGGTAGCATAGACAAGAAAAGGAGCCCCTCTTCATGGCTGAAGTACCGTCCATCTTCTAGCATGTATACATACACATACTGTGTGCATATATATATAAAATAATTGTGTCTACTATTTGTTGTTCAGTATCAGGAGGACAGGATCTATCTGCTTTGCTCACAAATGTATCCCATGTGCCTAGACCACGAAGTGGCACATACTAGACCCCCAGTAACTATTTGCTGTACAGATAAGTAGATGAAGAATGCTCTGTAGCTCTGGAATTCTGTTCAATGTAGTGATACAACTTGGGGTGTGCAGCAGGACTCCTAGCCTCCTCACCGGGCTGTTGTCCAGTGAGGAGCTTATGCCATGAGATGGCGCATAAGCTCACAGTACCTGACAGGTGGGAGTTGTTGGTGAACTGTCTCCAGCGGTGTCAGCACTGTTACCTGTCCCCCTGTACCCTCCCTTCGACGAGGAGGTGCATCCTCATTAAGTGCCTGTGGCCCCTCACATGAGATGCCCTAGAGCCTTGAGCCTATGCCCCTGCCCCCTCCCTGTTTTAATATACTCATCATGATTTTATCTTTTTGGGAAAGAAAGGAAGGAACACAGCTGGGAGGAAAGAAACTCTGGTGCTTGTGTTTTTTACTTTCCCAAGCATTCCCTGAGCCTTAAGTGTCAGCATTATATATATATATATATTTTGAGATGGAGTCTCACTCTGTCACCCAGGGTGGAGTACGGCGGCACAGTCTCCGCTCACTGCAACCTCCACCTCCCGGGTTCAAGCGATTCTTTTGCTTCAGCCTACCGAGTAGCTGGGACTACAGTCGCCTGCCACCACACCTGGCTAATTTTTGTATTTTTAGTAGAGATGGGGTTTCACCATATTGGCCAGGCTGGTTTCAAACTCCTGACCTTGTGATCTGCTCGCCTTGGCCTCCCAAAGTGCTGGGATTATAGGTGTGAGCCACTGCACTTGGCTTTTTTTTTTTTTTTTTTGAGGTGGAGTCTCACTCTGTTGCCCAGGCTGGAGTGCAGTGACACGATCTTAGCTCACTGCAACCTCCACCTCCTAGGTTCAAGTGATTCTCCTGCCTCAGCCTTCCAAGTAGCTGGGATTACAAGCACGCACCATGGTGCCTGGCTAATTTGGCATTTTTTAGTAGAGATGGGTTTCACTATGTTAGCCAGGCTGGTTTTGAACTCCTGACCTCAGGAGTTCAGGAGGCCCGCCTAAGCCTCCTAAAGTGCTGGAATTACAGGTGTGAGCCACTGCACCCAGCCAGCATTACATCTTGACACAGAAAGTGCCTTCTCTGTTTCTTGGTTATCTATACATGTATTCTCTCCCTGCTCCAAAGAGATTTGCCCCTTATATTCCTGAGAGAAAGGATGGCAACTAATGGCACCTCTCTGTATGTGGGCTCTAAGGGAGAACTTGTTGAACTGTATTGCTAGGCCACCTACCCTTTCTTCATTACTGGCATCTTCACCAAGGCCACTAAGGACGTTCTCAACACGGGCCAGACGCCCCGAGAGGGAGAGTAGCAGGTTGACCACCTTGTCCAAGTCCCCTATGAACATCCTGTACTTGTCAAATTCATTGGGCTTGCAGAGCTCACTGATCAGAGCCTCCACCTCTTCTCCCAGGGCATTGTTGAGTTTGATGTCCATGAGCAGGCTCCCCTTCGCCTCCTGGAGGGTCTCCAGCTTGTGGGTGAGGCTTCCAATGAGCTCAGCCTGAAATGACAGACGAGACCACAAAGATCAGCCAACAGGAGCTGCCAGTGGAAGCAGGAGTCACCTCCTCCCAGCCACCTTCTGTCATCTTCAAGGCTCAGCTGAATACCCTTCCCTGTCTCTATATGGGACTATCCCCCAACATTACGCCATAATACACTTCTTTTCCTAAGGGTTTACCATTGCTTTTCTCTGAACCTCATGTGCCAACACTTAATTACAAGCAGCCTTGTAATGTTTTCCATTGTGTCATGCTATGTACAGCTTTGCCTTCCAACTGGTTTGTTAACTATTCTTTTTTTTTTTTTGAGATGGAGTTTCACTCTTGTCTCCCAGGCTGGAGTGCAATGGTACAATCTTGACTCACTGCAACCTCTGCCTCCTGGGTCCAAGAGATTCTCCTGCCTCAGCCTCCTGAGTAGCTGGGGATTACAGGCAACTGCCACCACCACACCTGGCTAATTTTTTCTTGAGATGGAGTTTCGCTCTTGTTGCCCAGGCTAGAGTGCAGTGGCACGATCTAGGCTCACTGCAACCTCCACCTTCTGGTTTCAAGTGCTTCTCCTGCTTCAGCCTCCCGAGTAGCTTACAGGTGCCGCCACCATGCCTGGCTAATTTTTGAATTTTTAGTAGAGAAGGGGTTTCACCATGTTAGCCAGGCTGGTCTCGAACTCCTGACCTCAAGTGATCCACCTGCCTTGGATTCTCAAAGTGCTGGGATTACAGCGTGAGCCATCGCGCCAGGCCAACTACTCATTTTTAAAAGTCCTTTAAGATATGTTCTCATTTGGTCCTCGTGACAATACCGTGGGTAAGTAGGCAAGTAAACACTATTCTCATTTTACAAATAGAGAGGCCAAGAGTCAGAGGAATTAAGGGATTTTGCTCAGAGCTGAGTTGAATATTAATTGTGGCTACCATTTGGAGAGCAATTGATATGTGCTGTACACCATGGAGAAACTCTACATTGATTATGTTACTTAGTCTTCCCAGCAATCTTATAGTAGATGCGGTTTTATCTACCTATAATAAGGGAGGAAATGAAGACACTGTGAGGTGTATTGATGGCCTAGACACATGAACCGTGAACTCAAGTCACCCTCACTTTAGGGACCACCCTTGTACAATCAGTAGCTATAGTGACACCAGGCTGGGTGCAGTGGCTCACACCTGTAATCCCAGCACCTTGGGAGGCCGAGGCGAGAGGATCATCTGAGGTCAGGAGTTCAAGACCAGCCTGGCCAACATGGTGAAACACTGTCTCTACTAAAAATACAAAAAATTAGCCAGGCGTGTTGGCAGGTGCCGGTAATCTCAGCTACTGGGGAGGTTGAAGCAGAGGAATCACTTGAACACAAGAGGTAGAGGTTGCAGTGAATCAAGATCGTACCATTGTACTCCAGCCTGGGTGACAAAAGCAAAACTCTGTCTCAAAAAAAAAAAAAAAAAAAAAAGAAATAGTGACACCAAGGCTTTTATAAGAAAGTCAGTCCCTTGTTATTCTACCTCACCTGTGTCCAGATACCAGAGCTGTGCAATTTGACACCTAAATGACAAATTTCCATACTTATAAAATAGTTATGCAGATATCCAATATATTTAACTGAAGGAAGGAAGTAAATGTCTTAGAGATCTTAGTGGCTTCTAGTTTGAATCCATTTATATAAAGTGTCTACTGCTGCTGTTACACAACGGAAATTCAGCTCCATGGTTTTTGTAATTAGTCTTTCATTTTTCTCTTAGCCCAAAATAGCTAGATGGAAAGAAGGCAATCTTTTTCGGTTAAAATTCTTTTTTTTTTTTAACCACTAAAAAGGTCCCAGCTCAAAAATTCTGCATATGTGCGCGTGCACACACACTACATACATATACACACACACATGCAAATATATACAATATACACATGACATGCACACCCCAAACTGGATTCAACTGGAAATGTGATTAAACATAAAGGTTACAACTTCTATGCTGGAAGTGTATGTCCATTTTAAAGGGGAAAAACAAAAACCAGGAAAAACAACATTTTTGACCAACAGAATTGAAGGGTACTGGCAACTTTTGGTACTATTTCTTCAACATCAGCACTAGAGAAGGTCCATTAGGAATGTAATCACAATAGTTAGGGAAATATTTACTTCTCCACAATCTGCCTATCTTGGAGCTGGACCATCAGAAGTACTTCACAAGTGAATGAAGTTCGTAATGTTCTTGAAATGTCTAGGTTCTGGCTTAATGGTGGCATCTTGTTTTCTCAATATGCCTAATCCTAGAGGTTGCAGGTGGCTAAAACATTCACATCTGCTGCACCATCTCATCAAAGGTTATAATCTTTGCTTTTACTCAAGCTGTTAAAATTGTTTAATATTAATTATTAAGTTTTCTTATCTTCTCCTGGAAAAATTCCATTTTCCAAAAAAGCAATTCTGGTTGGAAGCTATGGAATTTACCTGCAAGATAACATGTTATGTACCTCTAGCAAAATACATAACATGTCATGTAGCTCCAGCAAAATGGCTGGCAACCGATATCACTGTGGTATCAGCTCATGTGGAGAAAACAGCAAGGATACTGGACTGCAAAGCAGCAGGAAAAATAAACTGTCTGCTGCTGTGTCTCCCAACATTCCTGCTGGACTGGGTTAAGATACGTCAAATATCATCATTCCTGTTTTTCAGATAGATAATGAAAGAAAATGTCATCTATGTGAGGTCAGCCCAGGAATTTTTAGCTTGTAGGGTATGTTTCCTAGGCTTGTCACTCTAGATCTTATGGGAAGATACTTAAAGACAACCAGGTTATACCAAATCCAAAGAGAGAGTTATCAGGGCAAAACATTCTTATCACTCCACCCTCAGGAAAAGATCTTTTGGTTCATTCAGATTTCAGGCGTCCATGTCAACCTCATGTCCCAAGAAGCAGAATTTCTAGCATGCCTAGAAAATGCTTTTTAAAAACTAAATAGTGGAAAGAAACAAGATAGTTTTTTTTTTTTTTTTCAGCCTGTTTTTCATTATTTCTATGAATGACTTTTTTTGAAACTAGTATTGCGTGTTGTCACCTCTGGAAGGAACTAAAACACTTATTAAACTATTAAGTATTTTATGTGGCCTCATTGTATTTTAAAATCCTCCTATGGCTCTCAGATGGTTTTTAAATTTTATTTTGAGATGAAGTTTCGCTCTTGTTGCCCAGGCTGGAGTGCAATGGTGTGATCTCAGCTCACTGCAACCTCTTCCTCCCGGGTTCAAGTGATTCTCTTGCCTCAGCTCCCAAGTAGCTGGGATTACAGGCATGCACCACCACACCCAGCTAATTCTGTATTTTTAGTAGAGACAGGGTCTTACCATGTTGGTTAGGCTGGTCTCGAACTCCTGACCTCAGGTTATCTGCCTGCCTTGGCTCCCAAAGAGCTGGGATTACATGTGTGAGCCACCGTGCCTGGCCAGAGGCTGGTATTTTAAAGGACATGTATGAGGCTTATCAATTTGCAAATGAGCAGAAACCAAGGATAAGTAGTTTGCTCTCACATATGTATGAGAGGAGAGAACTCATCCTTTCAAATTTCTGCTAAACTCAGCTCAACAGCTCTTCCCAGCACCTAAGCAGATCAGCAACACTGCAGGGGTGGCCCTGAGGTGAGCAAGGTTCAGTGGGCTGGAGGGGTCAAAAGAACTTAATCCACCTGAACTGCAATCAGGGTTCAGACACAACCATCCAATCTACCCAATCTTTCCTTCCCTGTTTTGGTTTTCAGAGACATCAGTGCTGGGCAAAACCATAAATAAATCTGTCATAGGCAGTGTGGCTATTCCTCAAGGATCTAGAACTAGAAATACTATTTGACCCAGCAATCCCATTACTGGGTATATACCCAAAGGATTATAAATCATTCTATTATAAAGACACATGCACATATATGTTTATTGTGGCAGTGTTCACAATAGCAAAGACTTGGAACCAACCCAAATGCCCATCAATGATAGACTGGATAAAGAAAATGTGGCACATATACACCATGGAATATTATGCAGCCATAAAGAAGGATGAGTTCATTGTCCTTTGCAGGGACATGGATGAAATTGGAAACCATCATTCTCAGCAAACTGATACAAGAACAGAAAACCAAACACCACATATTCTCACTCATATGTGGCTGTCAATGAGAACACACAGACACAGGGAGGGGAACATCATGTACCAGGGCCTGTGGAGTGGGGGCACTGGGGAGGGATAGCATTAGGAGAAATACCTAATGTAGATGGCGGGGCAATGGTTACAGCAAACACCACCATGGCACGTGTATACTTATGTAACAAACCTACACATGTACCCCAGAACTTAAAGTATAATAAATAAATTTTTAAAAAGAATCTGTCATAGGAGCATGTGTGTACTCCAGGCTTCATGGTATAAGAAAGAACAAAATGAGATGAAAATGTGTAAGAGTGATACAGGGAGGCTTTGTGAAAAGAAGGAATATACATTTCATGGCATTCTGATTCAGAAAGCTATTGATATTTGCTGGGCTGTAATGTGCTATCTCACAGCTCAGCCATAGATGCTAACACCAGAATTACTGAGTGGTCACATCAGTCACTCCTGGCTGAATGTTCCTCAGTTAGGTGGCATTTGAATTTTTTGAAAACCCTACCCAAATTGAAAACTTGAATTTAAAAATGCAAATAAGAGAGATTTGAGAAACTGCCAGCAACAAGGGAAAGCTGGCTGTACTAAACAGCCATTTCTTTGCCAGGCAGATCTCTTCCAAAAAACCTACCAATTTCTACCAGAATAACTCACCAGGGGAGGGAGAAGAGGTGTATTTTGTTTTAAATCACATGTTAGTCTCTCAGGAGCTACTTAATTTGTAAAATCGTGTATCTACTTGTCATCTGGCATAAACTGCTGGCTCACCCTGTGTGAGATACTATTTATAAGGGTTCTTCCTCCAAACATAGCTTTGCAGACCCTCCCTCCCACCTCATCCTCTGCAGAAA